GCAAACCGCATTCAACCAATCATAATTTTTCATTTTGTTCATTTTTTTGTAATTATGAGAGGTTGATTAATCATTTTTATTGTGGAGGGTGTTAATCATAGATATTATCATCTTCATTATTTTAATTTTAGAACAATACATGAAACAGTTTCATTAATGTTAGAAAAATACATGAAACAGTTTCATTAAGTATTATATGAAACAATTTCACAACCATATATGAAACAACTTCATCAAAAAAAGTGTTATATGAAACAATTTCACAAGATTAAACAATTTCATGAAAAAAATTCATAAGATTAAACAATGAAATCGACAGATGAAGGTGGTTTGCACGGTTTACACAAATGAAGGCGGTTTTCATATGATCACTCATATATATATATATATATATATATATATATATCAAAATAAATAAATAAAATATTATTTTATGGTTTGATTTGTTTAATTAGAAAATTAATTGTATTAAATATGATTTAATTTTATTGTTTTAGTCTTTTTGCCTATTTGGGTATGAAATTTGGTTTTTCTTTGAAGTTTATATAAGAATTTATTCGATTTTAAATTACCAATATGATAGTATGTTTGAATCTCCCTTTCCCTTTGGTTAAAATCTAAATAGTTGCTTTTGAGTTTTTATGCGAAAAACAGTATGAAACCCTAATTTTAGGTTGATAAAATTAGAGCTCATTTGTTGATGATTTTCAATCATTTTAGTGTTAAGATATTGATAATAAGTTTGTTTATTGCAACAGTGAAAAAAGAACATTAAAATTAAGATAATTAATTCTTTAATATATATAAATTATATCTTATTTTATTTATTTTGATATTCTTATTCATTATTTTACTTTTTAATGGAAAAAAATACAAAAAAAAGGCAAAAAAATTAAAATAATCCTCGATTTAATTGAGTTAATGAATTTATTTTAACGACGTTAATTAGAGGATAAAAATTGAATACTATAGAAACTAAAACCATAATAAACATAACATAGGGACCCTAATCAATAAAAAATCAAAACACAGAGATTAGATCCGTAATTCCTCATTATCAAATTAAAAAGGTAGATTTTATTTCTATGAGTATAGTTAGGGATGTACATCGTTTGGTTGGGATCAAATAAACAGACAAAACTAATGTAATATGCTCAGTTTGGTCAGGTTAGACATTTCTTTGGTGTGTTTAAAGATATTCAAACCAGATGTATTCGGTTCAAATTTAACTTGTAGTGTTATATCAATTATTTTAGTCAAATCGAACCGAATTCTATTAACCTTTGACATGTATTACTTTTGTTTTGTTTTGTTTTTCTGGGCCATTAGATGCACATTAGAATGAGATGCATCAGATCAATCGCCGTATTAAACTCAATTCAAACCAAACTTATCAGTTTCACCAAGATTTTTCGTATCAAAATCATATACAACTTCGAATATAAAATAATGTTACATGAATTGAAAACAAATTGTTTTATTTAAGGAAATTGACAAAAATAGTCGATCTTTCAATCAAATTAACCTTTTAGTCACTTGTAAAGCTGAATTCTCATTTTAGCAGAGTCATAAACCATATACGCTTTTACGTAAAGTCTATTTTTAAATTATAAAAAAAATTATTTACGTAAATGTGGATTCTTACGTAAATTTACATAGATTTCTAAAAAAAAAAAATTAGAAAATCGAGTTTATACAAATACTGAAATACGTTAGATATATGTACCCTGTCGAAGTAAATAACCATGACATATATGTTTGGAATAGATTCTATTTTTAGAGAGTTGAATAAGCACTATCTCGTTGAAAAGTTCTATATATCTGTCCTTTCTTAACGCATTTCTTTAGACAAAGACTCTGTTTTTTCCTTTTTTCGGATGGTAAATATTTCTCAGAACATGGAATGTGAATCAAACTCATGTTTGAATTGAAATTGAGATACTGATACAAGCTAAAAATTGCAAATTCAGAAAAAAAAAATTGAATAAAAATAATAAAATTGGAAAGGTTATTTAAATAAAATTCCCATTAATTTATGGAAGTATGGGTAAGATGATCATTTAATGAACGTTTCATTGTCTTTTCATAGTAACCAAACCCACATTTACAAGTAACTGCTTTTTTTTCTTTTTTGTCTTTTTATGGTCATGCGTGTAGACATTTTGGTTCTCATAAATCATATTTGTCGTCTTGCGCCAAAAACCCAAAATACTTTTCATATCTTATTTAACAATATAATATTTATTTATTAAAACCACATTTTTTTTATTAACATGATATGGAAAAATCTTACCTTATAAGGTGAGTGATAGTGTTGAATTTTACTGGTAAGTGTTTACTGAATAAGTGTTTGGATAATGACATAAATAAAATGCAATATACGGTTCAGATAACATAAAATGACTGTCACTTCTCCACGCCTTCCTCTTGTCTGTCCTCTATCATCTCCAAACTCCCCTCCTCCGCTCCTATATCTAAATAACCTAAACTTTAAATCCCCTGTATAGTTTGCTAACTAAGTTATGCGTCTCCAGCACTCTTATCAGTGTAACATCCTTGTAAATGTATAACACCATCTTATCCATTCTCATCTGCTCCTTCAACGTTCTCCTTGGTCTACTTCTCCTCGTCTCTTAATTGGCATATATGCTATCTATCTTCTTCACTAGTGGCGTCATTTATTTTCTTTCCCGAACGTGTCCAAATCACCACAATTTTCTCTCTCTCTCTCTCTCTCTCTCTCTCTCTCTCTCTCCATTTATTTGTGACGGGTGCAACTTTGAACTATGTCTGAAAGACCTTGTTCGGTATCACATTCAACATGTATCGATCACAAGTCCATATGAACATTCTCGTTTATGCAATTTTCAAACTTTCTCTCATGTGTCTTCCTTGTTGCCTAACAGTTTGACCCATACAATATTAGCAGGTTTGAATCCTTCAAAAAACCGCATCCAAAATAAAAACAAAAAGGAATGAGTTTAGTTTCGATCCTTGATGTAACCCTATCTCTCCATCAAGAAATACTCTGTTTCAATATTCTTTATCCCCTTCAAAGTAATTATAGCATTTTCTAACTGTATTAAAATATTTTTCCACCCAATAAAAAATCCACAATATTTGTATTTATTTTATGATATAAATTACATTTTTGGTCTTTGTGGTTGCCATTCATCATTAAATTTGGTCATTCCTTTACATTAATTACAATTTTGGTTACAGTGTTTGCCATTTTGTTTCACTTTTGGTCCATCTACCGAAGTTTAGTTAACTTAAGGGTATTTTTGTACTTGTACCTTTTTTTTGTTTTATTAGATCATAGAGTAAATTGCGATTTAGTCCCTACGTTTGTCTTTTCTCTTTAAAGGTTATTTACCCTATAATCTAATAAAACAAAAAAAGGTAAAAAAATCAAAACACCCTTAAGCTTTTAATATTTTTAACTAGAGTTAGAAAAAGGGACCAAAAGTAAAACAAAACAGTAACCACAGTTAAAGAAGGATCAAACTTGATAACGAATGACAACCACATAAACCAAAAACGTAACTTACTCTATCTTAGGGGTTGTTTACCTAAATGCTTACCCGGTAAGTATTTACCATTATGAGTCAACACTGTAATTTATTTTACCGGATAAAATTGTAGTACATCAAAATGGTATCTTATGCAACAATTTACCCGGGTAAATGTCATCACCCCCACTTACCAAGTAATATTCTTCATCTTTATCATTGTTCTTACTAGATAAGATTTTTGACCTTTGTCATGTTCATCCGGTACGAAAAATTTTCCGATAAGCACTTCCGGGATAAGCGTTTAGTAAACGGCCCCTTAAATATCTATATACCAATAAAACGCTTTGTTGAACAAATTATATTCTATATATTGCTTTTGCAACACTTGGAAAGAAGAAAAGAAGATATTCTTAAAATAGATCTCACAATTTAAACGTTTAGAATAATTCAAAAAGGTTTTCTAAATATTCGATGACTAGAAACAAAAGGCATTGTATATGACTAGAAATGTATTTGTGTTACGCATCACCATATATCTCAATTCCAAAGCTCAGAACCTTCACCCTTAATCCTAATTTATGATACATCCTAAATGTCCTGACGGTATGTGAGTCATTAGCTTCTTAGAAGGTCAATGGTTTAAACCTCAACAAATATAAAAAAGGTATGTAATTTTATTTGTTATATTTGCTGTATATAAATATTACAGTATTACAATGTAAGAAATCCAAGAAACAAAATAAAATGGAATGAGTTGGCATAGTTGAAGAGTGAGATGGAAGTACAAACAAAACAGCGATGGATACAACATAGATTACACAATTATTCCTTTTTAGAGGGTTTTTTGTTCCATCTCAATTCGTAGATAAAAAACAATTTTATAATAATTAATTAATTAAAAAAGAAAATACATTTTGTCTTGTAGTGAAAAATGTTTATCTATTTTGCCTTCATACATGATGCCAACATCGAATACGACACATCGCTCCCCCACCTTTTCTCTTTTTCACACTTGGCCTCAACTTCTCACAACAAAACAACCCCCAAATACCGCCGTGGAAACGGGCGGAGACGCCGTCAGAGCTAACAAACATCCATTCACGACCACCGGATTTCATGATCTACTATTTCAATTCCTACTACATAAATTACAAACAAAAATGATAATAAAATCATAAACGAGATTCAAATTACCGGTTGATTTTGATCGGTACAGTCAGTTTCATTTGTGTCGGTTGTTGAAATTTAGCTTCTCAAAGTAACGAATCGAGAGAAGAGATAGAGAGAGCTGGATCTCATCTTTTCCCCAACGCGTTTTCACCGCGGCCGCGGCCGCGGTAGGTTTCGTCGGAACGATCGTACGCGGTGGCGGTAGACACGGCCAGGACGATGTGGATGCCGCGGCGATGACGGTGGAAGAAGACGATGAGGTGGAGACGGAGACGGAAGGCTTAGATAAAGGCAATAAGTAATGAGAATGGAGACATCGGAAGCCACCAAGCGCAAGGACCACCAAACGGAGCGTGTTACTCCCGCATCCTATACTTTCCCAGTGGCTGGTGCAGATCAGCTCCCATAACCGCTCATCCTGAACCGTCCGATTCCACTGTCTGCTAACACAGGCCGCGGCACCTAAGGTCTTGGCGTCCACATGCTTGAGCACCTCATAAAGCAAGTTTTGGTCCATGAGAACAGCGGCGGTGGCGGAGGATTCCGATTGCTTGATCTTCTTGCAAACATGAGAATCGGAAGACGTTGATCTGGATCTCTTGTTGGTCATGGTGGAAATTGAATGGTGATGTTGGAGAGGAAGAAAAGAAGGGTTTATAAGAAACAGGAGGTTTTGATATTTAACGAAGAGGACAACATGAGAAATGAATGCACTTTGGGTGTTTCGAGAAACTTACTATTATGTCCTTTCTCCATTTCTTTTGTTTTGTTTGTTTTCGCCAAATGTCATTGCTTACTTTTCTTTCTCATTTATTACTTTAAAAATAATCCATACTTCTTTATAAATCAGATTTATTAAAAGTCTCAAATTTTTTTTATATATAAAGTATTATATATTTATATACAAAATTTTAAAAGTCTTAAAAACAACTCATAATACATTAAGTACTATTATTTTATGCATTCAGTCTTAAAATCTCTTAATCTACAATTAAAATAACATATAGTATAAGTTACCAATGTACATTATTACATTTTCTTTCCATGTTTTCAAGATACTTTTGACACATTTCACTCATATCGTTACCCTCTCATACCTCTATGTCTCATTTCCATCCCCTAAGGTGAGATTCAAATCGATATTCACCATGAGTTATTAAAATTTCTCTCATTCATCTCTCATTCAATTGCTCTATAACTCTCGTTCTCGATCTCTTGATTCTTTGTTTTTTGTGTAAATCGAACACATTTGTAGAGTCGTTTAAATATGTTGGATTTTAAATATATTGAATTTTAAACTATCATATAATTTTTTTCCATCGATAGACTGTAATTGGAACCATAACTCTTATTTATTCAAATTGTATTAATATGTAAAAACCAAGTGTAACTTATATCATCGTTAAATCTTTTCTAATAAAACCAGTGAAACTTCAAAATCGTTAAAATTCATGGCTTCCGCCGCATTGCACGGATACACAACTAGTTAGATATAATGAAAATAACACAAGCTGTTAGGGATGTGTAATTATTTTACTTTTTAATTAACTAAATGATATTTTTACCTTTGATAATAGAGAGATAAACTTTCTCCATCTCATAATTAAGAGTAAAATGAAAAATTAGAAACTTATTTTTAAAAAGTAGACATTTATTTTAAAACAAAATAAAATAGTAATGTAGACACTTGATTTAAGACAGATGGAGTATGATTTAAAGAAATGGATGAGAATTCTTGTTTGCTTCGAGTTGAGTATTGGCATCAACGATGGTAAATGTAAGAGAATTGTTTAAATGTCACGCAAGATCAAAAGGCTGATATAACATACATCTAAATAAAAATTTATGATTTTTCATAATTCAAAAAGTAACGTAATCGTTAATACGATTCTTAAATGTTAAATCAATATTACAATGGTAGTGTCTGATTGGTTTGAGTTTGACTCTAAAGATCAAAAGTGACAGGAGGTCCCAGTTTCAAATCAAAGGAGGAACATAAATCCTCTTGTGGCCAAGGAGGTTCAAATACAGTGACTCTGGGCTACCTGCAAAGCAGGTGGTCGTCCTGAAATTAGTCGACTCGCATGACGGATTGAATATTCATGTTAATAAAAAAAATGTTAAATCAATATTTTGGACCGATGTAATCAAAATATGTACAAATATAATTTGTTATTGATGTCATATAAAGTTTTTTTTAATGATTTATGACATGTGCATAAAAAAATTGATAAGTTATATAATGTTATATTTTTTTTTGTTATAAAATAATAAAATAAAAATATAGTTTGATTATGTAATAACATTTTTTATAATCAAATCTTATAACTTTGCATTTAATATAGCATAGAACTTCAAATCATACAATTTTAGTATTTCTTTTGAGAAATAAAAAATTATCAATTAACATTTTAAGAAATGCTTATTAAATATAAAACATAACTTTATAACTTTATAACTATATATATATATATATATATATATATATATATATAGACTTGGGATAATGTGAGACCAATGGTTTTTCATGAGACCCGTAAGACCAATTCTCAACCCTTGGATTAAATCTACAATATGAAAATCTAAACATTCACAAAACGCCACGAGACTTCTCAATAATTACAAAATTGCCATCGTCAATTTAGACCATTAGATCATTAAGTTATAAACTTGATCAATGAACATAAATTGGTCTCACGGGTCTCACGAAAAACCACTGGTCTCACGTGAATCCAACCCTATATATATATATATATATATATATATATATATATATATATATATAGGGTTGGGTTCACATGAAACCAAAGGTTTTTCGTGAGACCGTAAGACCAATTTATGTTCATTGATCAACTTTATAAGTTAATGATCTAATGGTCTAAAGTTGCACAGTGACAATTTTGTGATTATTGAGAAGTCTCGTGACAATTTGTGATTATGAATGTTCAGATTGTAGATCTAATCCATGGGTTGAGAATTGGTCTTACAGGTCTCACGAAAAACCCTTGATCTCACATGATTCCAAGTCTATATATAGCATGTGAGACCAAGGGTTTTTCGTGAGATCCGTAAGACCAATTCTCAACAATTGGATTAGATCTACAACCTGAACATTCTATGTTAGAATCATTTGTTTCAAGATTCTATGTTGGAATGGTTCTATTCAATTAGGTACCACTTCAATCAAAACCCATAAAAAATCTTGAAATTGTTTCATCATATCAAATAGTACCCAATTCACATTAATATACAAGACTTAAACTTTAGAAACATAAAGAAAATCTTTGTTGAGAAGAGGATTATAGTTGCCACCTAAAGCTTCCATCTCTTTGGATGGTTGTTGTTGGAGCTTTCTATCGAAGGGATTTTGCCTCTTTTCCTGTTGAGAAGTCGATTTGGCGATGCAACAGATGAGATGAGTTATGGAGACAAAGTATTTCCAACGCACCCATCTGGAGCATACTTCCTGGGTTTGCCTCTTTTTTTTTCTTTTCGTCAAGGGTGTGACACCTGTCGATGGTGGAGCCGTCAGATACAACAGAGCAAAGGCAGCCATTTGGCTTGGGATATATTAAGGTGCGGTCGTGAGCTTGCTAGGGGATTCAGTTCTCAAAGCAATATGGTAATTGGGGTTACTTTTGTCATATTCAATTAAGATATAGAATTTTATGCTATAGCTAACATGATATACAAGAAATTGTGTTAATAATTTCTTTACAATGAATAGTTTTTTCTTATCCAATTAAAACCAATTATCCGCGTTCATGTTAAAAAATATAATGTAAAATTCTAGATCTTTTTTAAGTTTGATCAAATTTTATAAGATGGAAGCTGGTTGTGGTTATCTGCATCTGATAAAAATCATCCGTCTCAAAATTAGACATCTTAATCCTATCTCATCAATAAAATTAAAACATGATAAATTATTATTTATTTTAAATTTATTTAATTTATCTTTTTTTGGGTTAAATTCATCCCTATATATTGCTAAATACACATCTATTTATGAATTTCTTCCTCGTATACATCAACATAAGTACTTACTTTCTATATTTTAAATACATAAATTGACTTAATTCACATATAAAAAAAAAAAAATACAAGTAACAATTTTTTTCCACAAAAATTCTCAATTTGCAATTTTTTTCATCAACAATTTATCGCCAACCCCTACTACAATAATGACAAAATCTTGATAAGATTGGCTTTCAATACAAAAGATTTGCATTAATTTATTTTTATTAAAAAGATAGTGGTTAAGTGTAAAAATCAAATTAAAAAAACATAATATCTTACATAAAGATAGCACATATATATATATATATATATATATATATATATATATAGGGGTGGGTTCACGTAAGACCGGTCTGTTTTCGTGAGACCCGTGAGACCACATTTTTACACGTAACCTTCACAGCAAAAACACTGTGAAGGTTCAAGTGTAAAATGTTGGTCTCACGGGTCTCACGAAAACAGGCTGGTCTCACATGATCCCAAGTCTATATATATATATATATATATATATATATATATATATATATAGGGTTGGGTTTACGTGAGACCAAATTTTTTCGTGAGACCCGTAAGANGTTCATTGATCAACTTTATAAGCTAATGATCTAATGGTCTAAAATTGAACGGTGACAATTTTGTGATTATTGAGAAGTTTCGTGGCGTTTGTGAATGTTCAGATCTGACGATTATAGATCTAATCCAAGGGATGAGAATTGGTCTTACGGGTCTCAAGAAAAAAGTTTTGGTCTCATATGATCCCAAGTCTATATATATATATATATATATATTTATAGGGTTGGGTTCACGTGAAACTAAGGGTTTTTTCGTGAGACCCGTAAAACCAATTTATGTTCATTGATCAACTTTATAAGCTAATGATCTAATGGTCTAAAGTTGCACGGTGACAATTTTGTGATTATTGAGAAGTCTCGTGGCAATTTTGTGATTATGAATGTTCAGATTGTAGATCTAATCTAAGGGTTGAGAGTTGGTCTTACGAGTCTCACGAAAAACCTTTAGTCTCACATGATCCCAAGTATATATATATATATATATATGAAAAATAAGATGTATTTAAGAGATTTTCTCTATCCCATGAAATTATTTCTATAAAGACCCCTAACTTATAAAATAAAAACTAAAAAAAATAATTGCAAGAAGTAGGTGAAGTGTTTTTGTAAATAAATAATAGGTACAATGAGAGAGACATATGAAGAAACAAACATGGAAGCATAAAGTATTGTATCTATAATTATGAGGATACTTTATACATGTTTTTCTGATTGTTAACTTCAGAACGTCATGAAATCAAAGTATATAAAAACTGATGCAGACACCCACAACATTCACAAACTAATTAGGATTGGAGAGTAACTTTGCCTAGCATTTTTACTAAACATACGTCCAGTTTATTTATTGAATTAATAGGCAAAAAGAAAAGATAATTTTCTAAACTTTTTTCCTATAAATTCAAAGAATAAACAATCATAAAAGTCGATTTATATGGTTTTAATTACATTTGTATACAAAAAAAAATTATAACTTCGCTTTTTAGCCCGAAGATACAATGTCCGTTGTGGGGTACTAATAAATTTATCATGGTTTTAAGTTGAATTCGAAGTTATTGGGTCAATCAGTTACTTTGAGTTGTTATAAAATGACATCAGAGTTGATCCTTGTACCATCTCAATGGTGGGACAAACCTCATTGGGTATGATGAATTCTCAAAGGGCTACTAATAATTTATACTGTAGTTTTAAGTTGAACCCGGAATTGTT